TACAGTTAATGGTTAAAATATAGTTAATGGTTAAAATATACAGTTAATGGTTAAAATATACAGTTAATGGTTAAAATATACAGTTAATGGTTAAAATATAAAGTTAATGGTTAAAATATAGTATATAAAAGATAGTATAATTGGACCCAGCTGTATGTTATTGTCTTCTTTAATTTTCAGAATAACTTTCATTTCCTTCTTTTGGACCCCAGGAGTCCCTTCATCTGAACTCTTTCTCCAACACGTGTCTCGACCAAACAATCATTTTCTCGCCTGATTCTTCCTCCAACAACTTCACTCCAATCATTTCATCCTCATCATCTTCCTCAACCTGAGCTGCCATTCTGGCCCAGTCACAAACCAGTTCATGCCAAACCGCTTGTTTCTTTTCTTCCAACTCTCTTTCTTCAATGAAACATCAGCCACTTTCTTCAAAACGTTCTCACCCACTTCCAGGACCAACGCACGCAGGTGTTTCCATAATCCAAACTCTGAGTCCCCCTCCTGAGTCCACAAACAGGACTTCTTCTTCTTCTTCTTCTTCTTCTTCTGCTGCTTCTTCTTCTTGTAATTTATTGGCGGATTACAAACACTTTCAGGTGCATACCGCCTCCTACTGAGCACGAGTGTGCAACTCATGACCTCTGACCCTACATTCTGCTTTTTAAGTTAAAAGTTTTTCAGGTATGTAACCAAGGCTTTTCTGACATCTCTTATCCTTCTCCCCTTCATTTCCTAAGATTGCTCCTAAACTCCAAGCTCTCCCGTCTCTCTGACTTTTCTTTTCAGTCTCTCCCTTTCTTCCGTATATTTAATGCGTTCCATCAGAACATGTTCCACACTTTCTGTTTCCCCATCATGAACATTGTGTCATTAAGGAATGTGTCCCGCCCTCAGTCTCATCACCTCCTCTCTTCTACTTCTTTCTCTAAACGTTGTTATTTTAACTGATTTTTGGATCCTGAATCATTTTCTTCCTTTCTTGTCCTCACTTCATCTCTTTTGCCATTTATTTACTTCTTGTCTTTTAATAATTGATTCACCCTCTCCTTTCCCTAATGGAATATTAGCTGTTGTTTCTCTCTTCAACGCTGCCTTGGAAGATCCTCCGCCCTTTCATTCCCTTCCACCCCTTCATGTGCTGGCACCCAACAACATGCACATCTATTCCTCCTCTGTGCAACCTAAATAATGCACGTTGAATTTCTAAAATGAGCTCTTTCCTATTGTTTCCGTTTGACTTTATACTTTCTATTACTGCTTTTGAATCTGTGAATATTGCCACTGTATCTGGTCTAACCTCCTCAATCCGTTCCAAACTAAAAACAACTGCCACCATCTCAGCCGTGAACACTGACAGGTGATCTGAAATTATTTTGATAATACAAACTTCAAATTCTGGTATGAAGACTCCTATTCCCACCCTTCCCTGATCCTTTTTTGATCCATCTGTATAGATTTCTAAGTAATTGGAATATGTTTCTTTAATATATCTGCTAGATTTCACCCCTATTTCATTACCTTTCCATTCTTTTTTCCATTCTAGTAATTTTTTGTCCACTTTACTTTCAGGGATTAGCCAGGGTGATATAACACTTTTTGGATTACTCCTAGCAAATTCTATATTTTCTATCCCATTTATTTCTGCTAATTTATTTATTTTCCATCCAAATCCTCTTCCTTGATATTTGTCGTACTCCCAACAGTTCTGTATAGTCATAGCTGCTGGATTTCCTTCTTTATTTCCTTTAAGTTTGATCCAGTATGATAGTGACAGTTTTATTCTTCTCATTTCTAATGGCGTTTCCCCAGTTTCTACAAGAATTGCGTTTATGGGTGTCGTTTCAATCGCTCCTGTGCACACCCGTAGTGCTCTGGATTGTAGTCTATCTAATTTTTGAAGTTTAGATTTTGTTGCTGCTCCATAAACTATACATCCATAGTCCAGAGTCGATCTCATTAGAGCTCTGTAGATATTTAATAAAGATATTTTATCAGCTCCCCAATTATTTCCTGCCACTGCTTTCATTAAATTTATTACTTTTTTACACTTAGTTTCCATCTCATTCAAATGTGTTTGCCATGAATACGCACAGTCTAACCATATTCCTAAATATTTAAATTCATTCACCCTTTTCAGCTGTTGCCCATATAATAAGACATGACCAATATTGATCTTCTTTTTGTGTGTAACCACCATGTAGTTGGTTTTGTTTACTGAC